CAAATAGTTATATAGTAGCCAGCATATATATATATATATATATATATATGGATTATTTACATTTCCTTATTAAAATGCTATATAGGTAGCCAGCCATATGCATGAATTATATATATTTCCTTATTAAAATGCTATATATGAATATATACCTGCAAGGTTAAAGTTGAAGTAATTTAAGTTATTCAATCACAGATACAAGAATAATAATTATATTTAATTTAGTTTTAAATGCATGTTTATAAACGTCATATTATTCCTACATAAAGGTAAAAGGAACAAGAATCACCTGTGATTATACTATGTACATTTAAATATGCTATTTTTCGCATAACTTTCAACCTTCGCAGAAAAATACGCCACAAAATAGTCCATTTAATCCAGACAAACAAACACAAAATCATGAAAGTAAATTTAAATTAGCGCATAATCAAGGTACACGGACAAACCTATGGAAAAATTCAAAGATTATTATAATACTCAATTAATTTTTAATTATAGGTCTGCCTCAAATATTTGAGAAATTGCTTGGTTTAGAAACTTTGTGTTTGAATCCAAGTAATCCAAAAAAGCAGGAGAAGAACCACACATAAGACTGCTAGCCCTTGAGAAATACATTTGAGTGTTTCGCTTCTGATAGGAACCTACCAGGCGCGATGACAGTAAATCAGTAAGTTTACTCCTCCCTTGACATTCAACACTACACAAATAACTTTAACGATCTTGGACAAGCTTTTTCTTCTTCTTCTTTACATTACGTCTGGTTGATCACAGAGTTCAGCTGTTACTAGTGATTGGCAGAAATAGTAAAGGGAACTTGTATAACGCGTGACAAAAGGAAGTTTGGTGTTGTGTCAACTGTCCCAGCAATAATAACTCTTGTCATCCTTCCGGATATATCTATACTTAGCTGTCCCAATGCTTATAATCTGAAAACTTCTTTACAGCATGAACAGCAATCTCTTTACTCAATACAAATTTTATGTATTTCTGTCTGATGATCTGCAACGTAAAAATGGTTCAACTAGATTAACAGGTCATGGGCGTCATATAAAGAAAGCTTAATGTTTTACTGAAGTATTACTGGTTTCTGTTTGGTATTGTTGCCATGGCAATTTGAAAAACCCACAAAAACTGTTTAACGTTTTATGGATTATTGGAAACTTGAGACGTTCTTTATATCCTACAAGTGTTATTCATTTACATAATATTAAAAAAAAACTTTCCGTGACAAGAAACTCATCATCATCAGAAGTTCCTGATAAATCTGAAGGCTTATAACGTTAAAATCCGGGTTTCTATACCTGTGGGGGTATAATCACAGATAGCCCTTTTTGTACTATGTGCTTAACAACAAACAAGCTGGCTGGTAAAAGATCCCCCGGTGGGATTTACAACGATACCATCAGGGGTTCGATTCCTCTTCGTGGACTCAGCAGACAGCCAGATGTGGCTTTGCTATAATAAAACACACACTCTGGTAAAAGTTTAGAGACATTTTAATTAATAAGCTATTTTATTTTTGTTAAAAATAGTTCAACTCACAGTTAAATTACTTAAGTTTAAAACAATGCAAACTGCCCAATAGTGGGTCAGAGGTAAGTTTAAGGACTTACAATACTAAAATGCGGGGTTCGATTTCCCACGGTGGACAGAAAGCAGATAGCCAGTATGGCTTTGTGAAAAAAAAAACAATGTAAACTACACAGCAGCTTAGCACGTCTTTCACTTCCCTATATTAGCCTAGGATATTAATAAAATACAGGTTCAAAATATTTAAACTCGATGTTTGAAATGAATTATAGTTATTAAAATAAGTCGCATTATTTTTAAATTTAATGAGTAAACTGTTTTAAGCCATACAAACGAATTTGTATATAAAATTTTCTCTGAAACATTTAAGATCTGTAAGCCTCTTTTCAGTCACATTGTGGTACTGTATAAAAAGAGTTAAGAAACAAAAACCGGTTTATTGAACATTTCTGTAACTGTGATGGCAATTGTTACTGGAAAACATGAAAATCTTAAGAAATGCATAAACAACCTTAGAATGGGACTTAAGAGAAAGTATTAAAAACTAATGTATGTTTATAAATCGAGACGATGAACGAATCAAAGTTTGTTTTACACAATCCCTCATTTACTATTTACTTCCGCTTCTCCCTTTAACCTTGTTTTTAAAGATGAATTTACCTATTAATTGTTAAGAATTTAATATCGGCTAATCTAGCACTGTATTAACAAGTCTTAATGATGGTAACTGTACTCCCAAAATTAGTAGGGTGAAACGACTAGTTTATCTTTTACTGTGGCCAAAAAAAAACAACGTTTATTTGGTTTTTTCCTCTCAAATAATGATGTAATCAACATTCTGTAACTATGAAAATCCCCATTCACCTGAAGAAGATATGACAAAAAGTTTTTGTTTGCATAATTAATGGAGAGAAAATTCTTCTAGAAACCCATTTCTCTTCACAATCGTGTTTCAAACACAATAGAATGTCCCTTCTTGTAACAGATGAAATATCTCAGTCCTTTAGGGTACAATAAAAATACATGATAAAAAGTTCTTGTGACAGAGTGTTAATTGCACTGGGACAAGCTGACGCAGCGAGTATTGTACTCTTGCTATTAAATGTAAAATCGAGAATGATAAATCACAGACTTCATGGAAGTCGCCGGACGACACGTCCCCGCTTTCTCTTGCCTGTATGTCTGTTTGCGATCCCTGTCAACCATTGTATCAAAGCTTTTCTCCGAGAGACAAAAATAAATCGTCCGAATTGAATGATTTACTCGGACATTCTGAACACTTCCAACCACAGCCATCGCAACAAATCATCTTTCAGCATAAAACTATCATTGCCTTGTTTCACATAACTCAGCTGTAAATTAACACAATAAAGTATGTTTTTCCGAAACGTGAATTATGGAATGAAAAGTATACGATAAGAGACACTTAAGCTCATTCCTGAGAAGTATACGATAAGAGACACTTAAGCTCATTCCTGAGAAGTATACGATAAGAGACACTTAAGCTCATTCCTGAGAAGTATACGATAAGAGACACTTAAGCTCATTCCTGAGAAGTATACGATAAGAGACACTTAAGCTCATTCCTGAGAAGTATACGATAAGAGACACTTAAGCTCATTCCTGAGAAGTATACGATAAGAGACACTTAAGCTCATTCCTGACAAAAAATAAATAAATGCTTGTTTCATCTTGTTCAAAGATTCTTCGTATCCTTTATGGATGTTCCTCGTTGCCATGGATATCTGTTATGTACCGTGAAAGAAAAATGCTTTTTAACTTAAAAATATAGTTATAGAACCAGAAATGTGAAAACCATAATAAATACGTGCATTGTTACTCACTACAAATGATCTATACTGGCGAAGATATTTGAAGAATGCTTAATATTCATTACTACTAATCTATTCTTTGAAACGAGTCAGCAAGCAGTTGAAGAATGCGTAGTATTCATTACTACTAATCTATTCTTTGAAACGAGTCAGCAAGCAGGTGAATAATGCGTAATATTCATTACTACTAATCTATTCTTTGAAACGAGTCAGCAAGCAGTTGAAGAATGCGTAATATTCATTACTACTAATCTATTCTTTGAAACGAGTCAGCGAGCAGTTGAAGAATGCGTAATATTCATTACTACTAATCTATTCTTTGAAACGAGTCAGCAAGCAGTTGCAGATATATTTTTCCCTCAGCAAAGTTATTAATTTTGTTGAACAAAAAACGAACGACAGATTCATTTTATTCTTGCTTTTTTTCAATATGCCCAGTCAGGTGGAAATATTTGGGGGAAAATCCATAAGTAGCATGAATGCGAATAGTTTACCTTTCGGTACTACTCAATAGACAATCTCTTTAGAAAAAGTTAATCCGTATATAAATTACAAGGTTAATTACTAGTTTTATAAAGGTAAACTGTTGATACAAGTCAGAAGTCATGAAAACAAATGTAGCTCATGGGCATTCAAATAGGAAGCAAAAACTCGTTACAACATTGAGTGCGTGAATGTCGAGACATTTGATACACCGATAAAAACTCGTTACAACATTGAGTGCGTGAATGTCGAGACATATGATACACCGATAACGTAGAATATCAGCCAAATCAACCACGATTTATTTTTTCTAGTTTATTGCAAACTCT